ACACTCTTGACCATACGGAGATGGTACAGAGTACGAGGGAAGACTAACTCCCTCTCAAACGCATAACCAATTGCTAGCATCGCTAAAAATGCTAACAAAAAAAAACAGGACGGATCACAATTCCGGTGTATTTTTTCCTTCTCCGTTCAGATTTGGCATTTTAATAAGAAATTTTTCTTTTAAGTTCAAGTTTTCGCCTTTAGGTGCAATTTCGCAATTCCAAGCAAAAAAGACTTTGGCACCTCGGTTGCGTTTTGCATCCCGCTGACCTAGTTTTGTGTCGTATTGCCATACTTATTGTAATTTTCCGTTCATATACAGATTTTGCCGCAGTTTCTTTTTAAACTCAATAGTGGCAAGCAAAAACGGGAGTGACCTCATTCCTGGGTATAACGCTAATCAAAAAGTAACAGAATCTTCATTCGCTGATGTGCAAATCGAATGAATATACGAACTATATTTCCAGAAGCTTCACCTAAAACAGATAATTCTGCATACTAAGACCACTCGAAACGTAGGACGAACCGCGCATAAAGCAATTAGCATGAAACAAACCAAAAAGAAGAGTGATAAGCGCCAGTGACCTTTCTCGGCCGAAAAGAAATGCAGTCCGTCCCCAGAAGAACGCCATCAGAGCAGTGCAAGTGGAGCAGAATACCAGAAGCGCAAGTATTAAATAAGTGGACGAGAGCGTCTGCGACAAGCTGGAACATTTGCGTAGAATGCTGTACAGCAGCGGGCCAATACACCCAATCTGCAAAGCAAGATACGAATAAGCCGAGCCACGTGGAAGATGACGTGTTCCAAGAGCCTAGGAAGAAGCACAGCCGGTTCCACCACATCTCCCGTGAACATGTGATTTAGCACGTTAGCACCGCCGACCTCGACAACCACAGTTCCGCCAATCTTTGTCCTCTTCCTTTCTTCCTTCAGTTTCACCTCATCCTTGCTACTTTTTATGCGTTTTTTGCAGCTATGCAATGCAGAAAACGCATATTGACGAGGGGTTGTCTGTATGTCTGCGTGTTCGCCTGTGCCAATTTTTCATCTCAAGGCCTACAAAAGGTACAAGGCTGAAACTTTGGCAACTTAATCTACATACACGTATGGGCC